TGGACACCTATAAATCATAAAAACTTGTCTTTTGGGGCTAGAACGTCATAACTATCAGCTTTCTTTATTTGAAAAAACACAATAATATAAGCTTAAGGATAAGTATGTAAATCACCAACTTATTAAAAACCCAAAACTTGAGCTATTGTTTGTCATTAAACAAGATAAAACTTCAGCATCACAATACTCAAACTTGACTTATCTATCTAACACATAACTTGACTTGATACCCACGCTTAATCGTAGAGGCCACTAATTATGACATGACAGTTATCAAACTTATCTATTAGTCATTCAGACAACGCCTTACTTCATGAAAATTAATAAATGATAATAATTGTTACTGCTCTTTCTAATGTGCCAACTCACAAAGAGGATCCCCATCACAATAGTGTGACAACACGTGGAGGTGCAAGATACAAACTGAAATACATACTCTCAGAAAGAACATTCTCGCGCACACATGCAGTACCATAAACTTTCCTATCATGTATTTCTCCACTAATTTTGACACATAACATGTAGGATCAACTAGGACTTGTGGATATGGATAATGAAAGATTGAAAACAAAAGAATTGATTTCTTTAGACATAATCATCTATTACTTAAGCTTTTCACCACCCTAATTTCTTCATTTCACCATTACTTTCCTAGTTTCTTCTCTTTTGCATACCAAGTGCTCCATCCTCTCACATGTACAAACACATTTGTTTTATTCTTTTAGGAGGGAAATCACATTGTATTCTCTTTGGCTACTCCACACCCTTTATCATTAGACTTACAAACTTATGATTTAAACCTAGATTTGCATTTTCAACCCATCCACCCCCTAAACTTTGATTTTTAGCCTAGTGTGTTGTTAATATGCTTCTTAATAAGCCAGAGACCCCCTTTTTTACTATTATTCTTTTGCTTGTACACCAATTTAGGGGCTAAGAGACCCAAATTTTAAGACTCAAGATACAATTTACGACAGTCTTTGATCTAGCTGAGCTGGAACAAAATATCCGACTTTAGAGCTTGATGCAGTTAAACTTTGCCCTATTTCAAGGTTGTTGCTAAGCAACATTTTCTGATGATGGTGAAGAGTATAAGACATTTATCTATTATTAATATTTAATTAATTAAATATTTTTAATACTTTAATTTAATGTAGGGGTAAAATGGTAATCCAACTTTGAGGTTAGGATGTTCCCACTTTTAATAATATATGATATGATGATATGATGTTGATATGATGATTATTATCAAAACAAATATTCTTCTCTATTCGAAAGCATTTTTTTTGTAAATGTTAATTTTCAGGTTTGATAAAAGTGGGAACTTTACTTAATTTTACAATGAAATATTCAATTATTATTTTAGGTTAGGTTAAGAATTTACAAGAAAAAAATGAATATACAATTGTACATCACAACATTGACATAAAATTGGTTAGGACGTATTAGGAAGATGAAATTTTTTACAATGGTAGAGGTACAACCAACAATAGTTGAGTGAGGATCCATTAGTTGTCTGACACTAAGATAATGAGCCCATTTATTTACCTTTTTACCATCTCTCTTTCACGTATCCCTCTTTTCTTTCAGCCCCGTCATGTTCAGCCCCGTTGTCAATCTTATTTTTAAATATGGTTATGTTGAAAAAAATATCTATAATTTTTTTTAAAAAAAAATAATAAATAAATAAATAAATATATATATAATTGGTTTGTATGCTAAAGTAAATTAGTTTTTATATTGAGTTTATATGATTCTACTAAAAGATATTAAACAATGAACTTATTTGTAATGTATTTGAGAATTGGATATTTATTAAGAGTAAAAAACTAAGAAAATGAAAGAAAAGATAAGTGGTGAACAACATGTGAAAAGTAAAAAAAATAAAAATAGGCCCACTATTCAAGTGTAAAAAAATACTAATAGAACCTCACACAATTATTGCTGGTTGTACATCTACTATGATAAAAGAAATTTGTATGTAATTGAAAATTAACTTATAACGTTAAAAGATATTTGACTATTTTCTCAATTAAAAGAGTCTACAAGCAGGCATGTCTTCGTCAACATGCCTGCTTGTATGATAAAGGGTAATTTTGGTATTTTATATGTTTTGTTCTTCAAAAAAGAGTATTTTGCCTCTTTAAACTTGTACTCTTCTGTTGTTAGACGAAAAATCCACCAATTATTAACATATTGACTCATATGTCCCTAGAAGATTCATGCTAACCAATTTAGTCTATAGATTGTCATGTTGTGTCATTTATTCTAACTTTTTAGAAACATTTATCCTATTCAAGTAAATTATTAATACTTCTTCTATGAAAAATATTAAAGGACATAATTTAAATCATAATTTTCATTATTATCTTTTATAAAATTATAAATATAACTTTGTAAATAGTTTAATTTATCTCTAAGAAAATATGAAACTATAAATGAAAGCACAAATAAGGAAAAATTTCAAACATTCATCTTCAACTTTGAACGATTCAATTATTTGAACAATGAAAAAAGCCTAAAAAATTACTTATTATGAAATAGAGGGAGTATTTCGTGTTTCATTTTAATTTAATTATCTTACTTTCTTATATATTTTGTTATATATTTTATCATTATATAAGAAATATTATTAAAAAATTACGTAAAAACAATCACATAATTAATAATTTAAAATATTCAAAAACCATATAAACATTTGATTGACTCTACATTTCATTGTGCCACATAAATTGAGATTGAGTGTCACGACCCAGACCGTCGTGATTGGCACCCACACAAACCCTCAAGTGGGAGAACCATTACTTCAACCCAAACAAACAAATTTTATGAAAACTAAATCATTTAAATGACTATAAAAATAGAGTCCCCATAAACTCCAAGGTTTTAACAAACAACTAACCAAACTAATGCGGAAGAACAACCCCTAGAACCTGAAAGCATTGTACCAAAACTCTACTAACGACAAGTCTAAGAACAAGGGGTACAACACCGAAACTAACAACACCTTAAACAATAGTCTGAGTTCGAATAGAGTTGACTTAAACAAGAGAGACTCATGGCATCCTGAAAGAACTGACTCACCCTTGAATCCGGTCACGCTCAATAGTCACCTAGCTGAGGTCTATCAATAGCCGCCTGAAGATACCCTGTAACTCAACAAAGAACAAGCAAGTGCAATATCAGTATACAACCACAGTGTACTGGTAGGATCACGCGGCTATCCCAAAAGTGAAACACATGCAAGTAACCACAACATTATAAAACAAGCATATACCGAACATATACAATATTAGTCATCTTTTCAGGATCAATGTAGCATCACACGTTCTCAATAATACACATTGATTATCAATTTAGAGCAACATACAGTCTTCTAATATCAATCATCATTAGCTATGAACGTAATCATCACAAGTAGATACACAACACAATTCAATGGTCCTCTCACGGAACCTAATTCAATGGTCCTCTCATGGAAGCCACACTCAAACTGTTAGCATACCGGAACGTGGTACCCGATCCAATGTTTATGCCGAAACGTGGCAACCGATCCCAGTAAGTGTGTTGGATCGTGACACCCGCCCATTCAACAAACCACAATCACAATCACAATATATATTCTCACAATCATACAACAAGAGGTGATTCCTGGTATACAATTATTCGTTCATACTCATTTACATAAGGTGTGATCAATAATGCAACATTCACATACATACATGCAGTACAATGAAGCAATTACAAACATATATCACACAAACATGAAATCACAACCATCACCTATCTCGAAACAAGCTTGAAACCCTAAGAAACTTGATCCTTCCCTTTCCGAATTCGTTCCGCTTGTTCTTGGTCTACAAACAATCAATATAATACGGTAATCAATAAACAATTACTAATTACTCGAATTACCAACAATTCTATGAACCCTAGATCAAACCCATGATCCTAATTATCCAAACTACGGTTGTTTCCACCAGAAAATCTATAACAAAACCCTCCCCCATCAACATTCACCCATTCTATTACTTTCTACGGATAAAAAAAATGGATTCGGGGAGTGAAAAACTTACCTTTAGCCTCAAGAATGGTGAAAAACGAGTAGGAGTCGCCTGGAGTTCGTTCCTTAGCTCTAAAAATCGAAATGTGCCAAATAAGGTCATTTAGGGTTTATTTAAGACTTTAAGTCGCGTCAAACCCGCCACAGCGGCCCTCACCCCGCTGCAGTGGCCCTACCAGAGCGACACCAATCCTGCTAAAGAGGCTTGCACGAAACCAGTGAGCTATTTAAAGAATTCCAATACCCCCATTTCACAACACACCTCTAACCAACGACGATCAGAAAATACCCTTTACGCTAAGATCGATTCCTAGAGTTCTACTCGCCCGTTCAATTCCATAAAATCGTACTGATTCTTTAACGAGTTATCTAACTACTCATGTAATCAAAATCATAATTAACTCACCCGGTTGCTACCATATTGCCCTACACCTTAAAGACTCCAATTTCGTCCAAATTTGGACTAGGTTGGGAAAATCCAATTACTACGAAAAAGTTTTCCGGCCCCAAATTCTTTTCCCATTGGCTTTTCCATAACGACGAAAATCAGGTCATTACATCGAAAGAGTAACATATATTATTTGTAAATAACGTAAAAAATACTACACGTTATAAATAATTAACAATTTAAAATATTTTAAAAAAATACCTAACTCTTCAAATTTCATCAATATTACATAGATTGAAAAATAAACAATAATATATATTGGGTCCGTGCTGACACGGGCACCAATATCTAGTATTAATATAATATGATATAATAAGTTATAGAAAAATATGAAGTTGACTATTTAAGTATAACTTTAGCATATCTAAAATACTAGACAAACGTTGCCCGTGCGCGCACGGGCCCAATATATATGACGCCAACAATAGTTCGAAAATACTTGTAAGGAAACAGCTAAAAAAATCAGAACAAAGTAGTTGTTGAAGAACATTTCATGGTAAACGACTACACACATTCTATATGCATTGCGCTTATGATTGCACAGTTTATATATGTATTTACATATTTACAAAAGGTGATATTGCAAAATGTGAAATAGCAAATGCAGAGTCTATATTTACATATTTATAGAAGTTGATATCCCTAAAGGTGAAATAGTAAAGCATCCCATTACTACTTTGGTGGTAGTCATCTTGATTTTCTTAATTATCGTTGCAACTTTGTGATGCATGATTGACAAAATAGATGTTGAGATTTCCTGTTGGAATAGGAGAAAACGTCTTAGCAATGGATGTAGAGTACAGTAGCAATATTATAATAGCAATAGTGTGGGACTGGATGTGCTATGTACCTTTTTAAAGGGTTGGACATCATTCTTCAACCCAACTTTTTAAAAAAACTGGTGCAAAGGACCCAAGGTAATAGCTAAAATTTCTGGTAAAACATATTAGATGAATAAATGATGGAGAAAAGAAAGTACACATCTATAAACAAACAAATGAGAGGAATAAATTATATGAGGAAAGAAAGTACACATTTATAAACATAATACACACTAATATATTAGATAGAGGCCCTGACTCTATCCAAACAGAACATAATACATGAAGACCGCCATTAACATAAATCACAAATTTGAATGATCCAAATTGAAAGAGGGCCAAGCAGAAAGGTCCGGAACCATGTTCTAGTAAATGGATGAAAATTTTGAAATTAAGAGTTAAGGAGGGGATGAAAGAAAAACTGCACACATGAACGACCCATGTATGATTGACTCAGAATTAATAAATATCAATACCAATATCAATAATGGAGTCATTTGAGGGATTTACACAAGAGCTTTGAGGCTATCCAAAAGGGTTTTCCTTTGGGAAACTCCATCTGTACAAAAAATCAACAAAGACCTTGAGGTAATTATAATTTTTTTTAAATCAACTACTAATAGTCAAGAACACACATTGTAGTCTAGGATATGGCAATCCGCAAAAAAATAATACAACAAACTTGAGGATTCCGAACAATAGAAGCAACAGGAAAGGGTAACATATTGATACTTAATTTTCTTTGAGTAATCATAATAGAAAAAGAGTTGCAAAGCAAACTAAAGTAATGAAACCTAATAGCGGAGAAGAATTCCATTAATAATTGTCTGTTTTGATCCCTTGGGACAACTCGATGAATTTAGTAGATCATTTTAGGAGGCTCCATATCTACAAACTAATAACAGCTTATCTCATAAAAATGAAACAAATTTGACGCAATAAGCTTGCAAAAAGTGGCAACATAAAACACTCAAGAAAGCAGTATATCAGAATTTAGAGTGTCTTAAATGATTGAATGTGATAAGAGAAAGTATAATTGGCTCAAGAGAGAAGAATGGAGTTTAGAACTCCAACAAGTAAAAATCAGACTAAATGAGTAATCAGAAAAATACTAAGTATGCATGAATAAATTGGGGTGGAAATACTAACAAATACTCATTACCAACAGTCTTGTACAGTGATGAGCAAAGAATAAAGAAAATTGTACATTCGACAGAGAAAAAAATGAAGAAACTGACTAGAATTGCAGGGCAAACAGAAATAAAGATGATGATAGAGAAATTTCCAGATGCTTTGTTGCGGTGAAACACATAAAACCAATGGGCAAGTGACTAATAGTCTCTTACTGTAAAAAGGAAACTCAAGTTAAGGAGAAAACATAGCCATCATCAAGTTGTAATTCAGAGACCTAACATATACTTTAACACGTGTGAACGAAGCACTTCAGAAATCTACAAATTCGATAAGAGCTAAAAATAGAGTGAAAATATTTTTTCCCTACCATCCTCTTTCCACCAAATGATAGAAGAGAGCAAAGATAAATGCTCGAACTCTTATTTCCACTTCGATCCCTGCAAAAAAATATTTTATTTCTCTCGACATTCAATAACTTGCCAAAAAAGCTTTAATAAAACAACAATACAGGTACACACATGCAAAAGTTAAATTAGAACGATAAAAGAACACACTGCAATGCAGCATTATGCAGAAACACACAATAAGCAATTACATTTTGTTTTAATGTGTGACCATCTCACCTAATTAAAGCCTATGCTGTCAGAGAGAGACATTTAATTACTTAATTATGCTTCAAAACATCAGTCATCTGCGGACCTTTTTCATGGTCCAAGTTCATGGAAATTATTTTTTGATAATAATGGGTGACGGGGAGACTGGAATCCATGACCTCTTGTCTACTTCGATACCATGATGTAGCGTGTGATCATCTCATCTAAAGCTTAAGTTGTTAGAGAGAACACATATTTAATTACTTAGTTATGTTTCCACGCATTTGAAATTCCAAACATTGATTGAAGACAAATTGACTAAGAGTACTGAATGCAAACATTAAGATATGCGGTTCTTTAGGCAATTTATAGGCATGAAATTTAGCTTGATAATATTTTTTTATTTTTTTTTTATGACAAGGGAAACCCGCAGCCGCTACCCTTTTGGGTGCGCACAGGGTAAAACCCCCGCTCCTATGCAATAGCTCTCAAACCACATAGGAGAGGTAACCCGCACTAGGCAAGCCTGGTGCGACGAGCTCGACCCAGAAGGCAAATCCCCTGCTTTCGCTGGCAAGGGGTTTCGAACTTGAGACCTCCAACATGGAAGTCCCAAGCTCAAACCACTGGGCCACCCCGAAGGGAGATTGTTAATATTTTAGAAGAGTGATTCTCTTCTAATCCCACAACATACAGATTCCTTGCTAGTTACTCTCCTCTCTAGATTTCAAGGGTTGCTCTTAGTTTTGCTAGTCTTTTTCATCTGAGTACTGAAATTTTTGGCAAATTTGTAAGTTTAATTTTGCCCTAATTTTGATTCTCTTTGAATTTTGACCAACATAAAAATGAAAACTTTGTAAACCTATATAATAAAACTTCAAATACATAAATAGGAACCCTATCTTCTTTTTCTCCTTTGCTTACTGCAGCTCTTTTCACCCGTATATTCGTATTCTTCATTAACATCAAAACTTCGTACACCCATTCAACGAAATACGAAAAACTGAAGAAAAAAATATGAAACTTTAGCATCCATTCAACCAAATAACATAACAGTGAAAAAAATAACAAACAAATACCTTAGAATTGCAGCAACGTGTGAGTGTGAGAAAGTTGAAGATGAAGAAAGCTTTGAGCTTTGGTAGATTGAATGGATTTTGATAAAAGGGACGGAAGTGGGCATGGAGGACACCTATGACCCACGTGTAATGAAGTGGAATCAGGGAAATAAATATAATATGACAAAAATACCCTTATTTAATATGATGACTGGAAACAGACATGTTGATACCCAATTCCACTCGCACTTCTACTATAGTAGAAATTTTAACATACTCAAAGGTCAAGGCATTATTTTATTAAATTGGATGTGAATGAAAAATAACAAGAAATGCTAAAATTTTGATTGAGAATGGAACAATTATATATTTCATTAGTTTTTTTTTTTCTGTACCATATTTCATTCGTTTTAATTTGTTCATACTTCTTTTTTTAGTATGCTTTTAGGAAAATGTCTAATTTTTTTTGTTTTTGACAACTTTTAAATTCAAACTTTCCGGACATGCTTAAGATCACAAGATATTTTGATATATTTGACGTATCTTTAATTTATGCCTTTATGACCACATGATTCAAAAATTTGATTTAATTTCTTAAATTCTATATTAAATTAAAATAATATAAACAAATTGAAACGTAGAGAGAGTATTGATTTAAATTTATTTATTTTTCACTTCAATGTTTATCTAAAATTATATTTTTGAGCATAATAATTATAATTATGTAAGTTAATTAGGCAAAAAACAAAATAAAATTTGTGTTGACTAGGGAATTACTATTATCATCTTAGTGGGTGCCCTCTCCCCTTTCCATAGTTGGACTGGCGACTCCAAAAGATCTGTAAGCAGTTACTGATTTTCTTCTCTCTGGGTTTTGTTGGTCCCTTTATGCTTTCCCCTTCGCTCAAGTTATATACAAATACAGTGTAAAGTCTTCGAAAGATAGCAAAATTTGGGGATTTTTGTAACATTTTTTACTTATTTTGATTTCATTGAGTTTTGACCATGAACTATATGGGACATTCTTTTGGTTAAATTAACTGACAATTTAAAGGAGTTTTTTGGGTGACATGTTGTATACTTACACTGGTAAATTGGAAATTCTTGTTTGTTAAATGATTGACAAAGTTATCATAAGGAATCTTTTGCAAATATGTGCATAAAGTTTGGGTTTGTTTCAAATTTGGAACTTCCATTGTTGTTTAAAACTTTATGGATGAGTTTGTGGGGAGACAACTGATTGTTGTTAGTACTTTTTTTTTTTAATTGTTAGTACTCTTTAGTATCATTATGCATTTTTTCTTTTCGCAATGCCTTGTTTCTTCCTGCAATTTAACTACTATTTTGTATTTGGTATGTTTCTGTATTATTGGGTTGATATGTGGTGCATGGACTTCTCATATTTCAATTGCAGGATAAGTAGCAAATATTTGTAATAACTGTACGGAAGTGTAGTTAATCACAAGCTGCATGTCATCTTGACTAGACTCATGGCCCTTGATTCACAGGCATGGCTTGAGGAACATCCTAACAATATGATAATGCAAAATTCAGAAGGCTTTTGTTCATGTAATATTGGGACATTTGGTTCTGGTTTTGCCACTCACTTATGCTGAGAAGACATCACAGGACTTTGTAGTGTTTGCCGCTTTTGTGCATGAAAGTAAATAAGGGTAGCATGAGTGAGGGCCACTCTTCACAAGGCAATAGGGCTAGGAAGACAGAGAGCCAAAGAGTGCACTACCATAAGGATGCCATGCCAGGGAGTGAGCTGTGGACTGATGGACTTATTTGTGCTTTTGAGTTTGTTAGAGGAGACAAGAAATTTGGACCAAAATCTTCTACCAAAGGTTTACCACCTGATGAAATAGATAATGAAATAGTTAAAAGGCCAGCACGTGCTTATAGATTGGCTGAGGCTCCTGTTCAAAGAACCAACGGGAACAGTTTGCTGGATTCTACCTCTCTTGTTGAGTTGAGAGAACATGAGATTTCTCCTGCAGATGGCAAGATGGATAACCAAAGCTCTCCTGGACAGAAGCTTTATAATTTGGAAAAAATTGGAGGGAGCCATTGGAGGCCTATTGGTTGGGCTAGGATTTCTGAACTTATCCAAACTGTTCAAGCAGATTTTGGATGGTCCACCCAGCAGTTTGATCTCATTGATGATGAAGATGATCTCACTGTTGCAGATTTAGCCGCTCCCTACTGGGAGCGACCAGCTGGGCCTATTTGGTGGTGCCATGTGACTGCTGGTCATCCTTCTGTAGATGCATGGCTCAGTAATGCCCCGTGGTTACATCCCGCAATTAGTGTTGCCTTAAGAGATGAAGGTCGGCTAATAAGTGAAAAGATGAAACACCTCTTGTATGAGGTAATCTTCTAAGCTTACTGTGTTAGATTTATTTTTGTTGATATCTTCACATTCTTGACAAGATTGACCTTTAGTAGTTTATTTTTTTCTTAACATGTGACAATATGCTTACATATATGTTCATGCTTTGTGTATGACACGTAGAGGTCTTCCTCTTTGAAATCAATGCAAGAGACATGGTAATTATTTGTAATATCCAAAATTTTGTATTCTGTATCTTGGACCATTGGTTATAGGAGAGTGATAAGTTCTGTTGCCATAAAACATTTTTGTTGCTATTGCAGATGAACTAATCTTTCTTAATGACTAGTGGATTTCATTTGACAATTGTATATACTGATAAGAAAGTCAGTAATTTGATTGTCCAACATATGTCACTTGGTGGCTAGGAAAATTGATCTTCCCAACAATACTCTGACATTTATTCTTCTTATAGAGAATGATGATCCCAAGATATTATATCATTTGGTTGTTGATGATAGGATGGTGTTTCATTGATCTATGCTAAATCTGGCACCAATTTTATATCCAAGGCAATCATAATGTTATCTGTGGTAAATTAATAATCTTTGAAATGCGATTAAGGTGAATGATTATGTACTTTGATAAGTATACTGTTTGCATCTTCATTTCATACTCGATATTGAAAACTGACTACTCCCCGTCCCAATTTATGTGAAGGTGTCTGATTGGGCACAAAGCTTAAGAACGGAAGAAATATTTTTTGAAACTTGTGGTCTAAACCAAGGCACATATGTTTATGTGGCTTCAAACCATCTCGTTAAGGGTAAAGTGAAAAGTTAAAGTTAAATTGTTACTAAATATAGAAAAATGACATTTTTTATAGGACTGACTAAAAAGAAAAGAGCGTCATATAAATTGTGATGGAGGGAGTATTACATATGGATTTTCTCAACCATTCAGTTGTGACTATTGTAATTAGTGATTGAGTTAACATGTATGTTTCTAACCATATTGGATATTATTTTATTAACTAACTTCCCGTGACATTCCTTTTCAATTGTTGAAGTGTGTGACCATCTCACACCCCCCTCACGTGCAGGCCTGATTCTTTTTCATGGGCCAAGCACGTGGAATTCTTTTTACTTTGGGTGGCGGTGAGATTCGATCAAAGGGCCTCTGCCTGCTCTGATACCTAGTTAAAGTATGTGACCATCTCATCTAAAAGTTTAAGTTGTTAGAGAGGGACACTTTTTATTATTTAATTATATTCTCAGTACGCCCTCTCACGCGCGGGCCTGATTCTTTTTTCAAGGCCAAGCACGTAATAAAATTAATTTAACAGTTTTAGTTTTAACTATTGGATTTGCATTAAGTAATATACCTAATAGAATTCAAAATTTCTTTTCTGCTTCATGCCTCTTCTTCTTGTCATTGTGAACTGAGGATGTAAAGAGATAATAATCTTTTTTCTGAAAACTGGATGTAAAGAGATAATAATCTCATTTGTATCAGTGACAACTGATAGCCTAATATCATAATATAAAAAGCTAAAATGAAAAGGATTGCTTCTTTCTGCTTTCAGAGATGAAGTCATATTGCCATTTTAACACAGGTTGGATTTTATTAGGTCCCAGTAAGGGTGGCGGAAGGGCTGTTATTTGAGCTGTTGGGCCAATCTGCTGGTGATCCATATATTGACGAAGATGACATCCCTGTTGTAATTCGTTCTTGGCAAGCACAGAACTTTTTAGTTACGGTTTTGCACGTGAAAGGATCAGCAGAAAACCTCAATGTTTTGGGTATCACAGAAGTCCAGGTCATCCTTTCTATAGATGCTAAACATTTCCCTTGCTCACGACTTTATATGTTGGTGCAATTGGTCATTTATGCTTGTTCAATTTTACATCCTTCTTATCTCAACTTGACTCTTCTGGTTTGTGGTTGCAGAAGTAGTTTGGATCTAACTCTAAACATTTTTGGCTACTTATATCTGTTGCTTTCTTCATTATAGGAACAACTTCTTGCTGGTGGCTATAATGCACCACGGACAGTACATGAAGTCATTGCGCATTTAGCTAGCCGCCTTGCTAGATGGGATGACAGGTAAGAGAACTGCTCTCTGATGCGAAATAGTTGAACCATCTGGCCTTAAAGAACCAGTGGTTGCAGAAAAAAGTTGAAGCCTAACTTCTCCAGATGCTTTTCTGCATTGTCCCAGCGACCAGTTTCAAAATAGTCTTGTGTAGGAAGAAACTCATCAGAATTCTTAATGTATCAAGTATGCCTTTCACTTGTGGGCTGTGGCCCTTCCACTTGAGTCTGCGAAAGATCTCTGTCTGAGCCGATTCAATTTAGAGGGCAACTTCAGAAAACCTTGAAATGTGATGGTGCAAGATTCACCTTACAAATTTTGTTATCTTCTGCACCCTCTGTTTCAATTTATGTGGCGGTGTTCGGATTCCAAAAGTAAAAAATGAGTATGTAAATTTTATTTTTAAAAACTTAAAGATTCTATGTCCAATTCATGGTCAAAATTAAGAAGTTCGATTCTCGAAATCTAAATTGTGACACATAAATTGGGATGAAGGAAGTAATAATTATGAGACTAGAATTATCATATTGCATGCCACAGTGAGAAACTTTCATTCATGTAAGGTCGGACGAGAAGTTTTTAACTCTAATAGGAGAAGTAATTGCTAGGTTCTTGTCACTATATGGCGTGTCATAAATGCAGTTAGCACCTTCAAGCTCATGAAACTAGAACTTGTTTGGTTGCACTCTGTTAAACATATA